TTTAATTATCAAATATGACTAATCGAGTGAATACGTATACATGAGAATCGTTTGGGACACAAATAAAGACCAAGTTAAATATGTATATATATCCAACAATATCAAACGAAAAAAAAAAAAATTGACAGTGACATACTGCAGTTGTTTAGGTATGCTAATTAAGGAAGTTTGGGTAACTTCGTATCCAATATCATCTGTTTTATTAAGGAGAGGCGGTAGAAGTTGTCATGGCATGGTTGACATTTCGGTAAGCCCAAAGTATTCTCCTTGGACAGGCAAAATTGGAGTCACGTGACAATTTAAAAAGTGAAAAGAAATTGAAAGGGTATGACACTAACATTAGGTCATCGATGTAATAACCGGCTAATATTGTAGATCCTATAACGGCTAATATTGTAGATCTTATAACGGATCAACAGGATCATGATTCGTAGTATTGGTCGCGGTATCGATTGCCATCGCAGTGTAACAAATTCGGACAAAATCAATATAAACTGATCAATACAAATCACGTATCGAATTTGAAATAGAGTCGCATGTCGATCGATACGTCGATATACGACGAAGTATGAATAGAATTAAATACATTTGTGTTACACTATAAAAACTGCATTAAACGAAAAGTTCAAGGTATGCTAGTGTGTTACAGTAAAGAGCCTCTACAAACGTTCGACTCCTGCGGCCGTGAAACCTCTCTCTCCTTCCCTTTTAAACCTTTCCAATAGTTGGCCATCTAGTGGGGGATTTGACAACGCCGGTTACTGTTGAATGCAGAAAATGTTGAATATGTTGATACTATATGGTAACGGATCTCTATTTGTTGCGGCACGATCAGATTCCATTTGATAGAGAATGTCCGTTTAGTTGGATATAAATCTAAATATGGTGTCAGTGCTTTACGACACACGAATTTCTTATACTCTAGGCATATATGTCTTGCATGTATGTGGAGAGTTTAGGGAACTAATTTGTGGTTATTGGGACTTCAGCATATGTGACGCATTATTGAAAGTTTTAATGCAAATTTCAATGATTTCCATTTACCAGGGCCAAAACTGGAAAATGAATCATCTCCAAGAAAATTTGTCTTCAAATATCTAAAACTATTTAATCATACAACTGTTAAGGCGTCCTATCAATAATTTAATTAACTAAAATTAATACGATATGGTTTGATTAAAAACGTCATTTCGTTAGGTTTCCTCTTTCAATTTCCCTGATTATCATCAATCTTTATTTGCTATAATTGAAGATTTGAAAGATTTTACAAATTTTTCTGAATTAAGAAAGTATTTTAAGATTTCAATACATCAAATAACTCAAAGGTTATTTGGATATTTTTTTTAAAAAAATATTTATATCCAAATTTGCAGAGTTTTACACAAATCTTTAAATTATTTTCAATTGTAATTTTTAAATATTTATTTTAAATTAATTAATTAAATTATTAATGTGACGACTTAACAACTGAATAATTAAATACTTTTAGATACTAAAGACAAATTTCTTCCATTCCCGCAAAATTGTTTCTATGCAGCCCTTCTACTGTCATCATTCTAGTAGTTGAAAACGGTTTCGTGTGTTAATAATGCAACTTCATTGCCCGTCATTTGATGTGACTTCTTTTGAAAAGATTACTAATTTCTTCTTGCTTATTCATCTCGGTTTGGCAGAAGATTATTTTGTTACTTAATCACGATTGTCTATTAATTATCTCTTTATGTTTAATTTTAAATTAGAAAAAAAAAAAAAAGGATTGAAATTGCATCTTAAAATTTAATTATGAAGTACATGTACGAACAACCGGTGAGAAGTAGTCACTCCTAATATAAATGCTATTCTGGAAATATGAGTTAAGTTGTTAATTGTATGTAAGCTTTATCTTAGTGAATGGGCTTAGGCCAATTGTTGCTTGGGCTGTATTTTGGGGCTTTGGCCTTCTGTATATTTGCACAGCTATGTATAAAACACTTTACCTTCCGAAAATATATATATATATGAGTTAATTTATAATTTCCGTTGGAAGTCCCAGTTAAAAAAAAAAAAAAAAAAAAAAAAAAAAAAAAAAAAACCATTTTGTCTTTCATCCGAAAAAAAAAAAACATGGACTGATTTTGCACAATCCTTTCTCCAAGTGTTGTAGTCCTTTGGAATGATATACACTTTCAGCCTTCAATGCCAAGTGGCTTTTAGTCACCTGTTAATGTTAAAATGCAAGGAGGAAGTTGCGTCGTGTAGGTGACACAGTGTTTAGCATGATTCTTTTCAAGCCCGTAGGAAAGTTACACCGCAAGTGACACATGAGCGCTCAACAAGATTTTATATGGTATATACTCAGAGTTGAGTTCTAAAGTGTTGCACAATTATATATGTAGAGTGTTGTACAGTTGCAAAGAATTCTAGAATGTTAAAGAGTTTGTAAGTATTTGTAGATTAGAAAATATTTTAAAAAATAAAAAATTAGTAAAATTGTGAGAGAATTCTATATAGTAATTTGAAGCCATTGATTTTAATCCATCATACGTGTTAGGAAGATTTCCTATATAAGGAATGGAGGTTTTATTTGTAAACAACCAAGTAGAGTGAGTCTAGAACTAGAAGTTAGCATCCTACTAAGTCTTAATTTAATTAATATTGACAAATCAACCATAGATTTAAGCCATTCTTGTCACGTATACTACTTGTGTCATACTATAAAAATGTGGAAGCAGTCATGTTTGTTAAATACTTGGTGTGAATGGTAATATCGGTCAATATTAAAGTTTTTGTTCACATCCGTCAGAACGAGGTAGATCACTACCACGGAATATATCATTTGGATCAGAATCCGCATAAACCTTACTCTTACCTTGTACCCCAAACTTAACTAAATCATATAAAAAAACTAAATCCTATAAAAAAATTATTAAGACAAAAAAATTATATTTCTATTTTCAAATAAATTTAAATTTAAATTTATTCCAATATTGCCCCTTATTACTAAAGTGAAACTATCTATTCTTCTGTTTTTGTTATCCATCTGTAAATTACATACTGTGAGTTTGTGCTTACTGAACTTACCATACCCATACAAAGTACAAAGATTGGTTGGTTTACACTTAAACCAATCAATGCTTGCAGGATGAGTTTGGTTCTTGCTGAACTATATTTTTTGGGTAATCAAGTTGAGAATATATATAATTTTCTGAAAAAAAAGGTTGAGAATATATAAATAAAGAAAAAATAATTACATAAAATCAAAGGGTATACCCAGGCCAAACAAGGCATACACCCAAAGTACAACCCAATCAGTCATAAATGGGCAGCCCATGACTTGACTTACAAACACATCCATAGGTCCACTATATCATTCATGGAGGTTTTAATGTTTTATAAGTCGTGTGAAGGTGAAGAAGGGGTTATTGTGAGCAGGTTCGAAGAATGAGTTTGGGAGATTCACTCATTGGCAATCATCTCAGCATGGAAACATTTACTCAGACTGATGGAGAACATTCGGAGGCGCACCGAGTCAAGGGCGAGACTTGTTTCCAAACATTCTATCACGAGGCCGCTAATGTGAACTTCAGGCTCAATTTCAGTTTTTGTTTCCAATTTGAAGATGACCAAATAAGGAAATCTTTCCATTAATTAGGGTTTGTATAAAACCCACACTTGTTTTAAACACCATTCCATATCATTCTTGAGTAGGTCCATTGATGGAAAATGCGATTATGAGATTCCGCATTATGGTGGCAATTTGGTTGCATTTTGTACCAAACCTTGTTTTGTGTATGTAGATGACAAATATTTGGTTGCATTTTGTACCAAACTGCAGGCTTGTCTTGTTTGAGTAGCTTCTCCTATTGTCACTGTTCATTAAGATGACACCATGCTTTCTCTGTATTTTTTTTATAGGCAAAACAATTAAAACTAGCTTAACAAGATTTCACCCAAAAAAAAATATATAATACAATGTCAACATTTTCTGCATTTCTTTTTCTTTTTATTAAGAAAATGGTACAACTTCTCTTTCTTATTTTGTTATGTAGTGTACTGTAATGGGTAAGCGCGTGCCCATTTATCTAAAAGCTCAAACTATTGGGTAGTGCTGCATACCCACCCATTAATACACACTTCAACCCCCATTCAAATCCGATGCGTGACAAATTCCGCTTGTAACATTCTCCCCCACCCAAACCTGCGCAACGCCCTCGTTGCGATCAAACCACCCTGGGGATAGACCCGGACACCCTCCGGGCCGGGTGCTTGACATGACACCGGATTAAAGACTGGGTCTGGCTCTGATACCAACGGTAACGGATGGACACTTATTCATTTATCCAAAAGCTCAAGTTATAGAGTAATGCTACAAACTCACACATTTATACACATTTTAACCCCCATCCAAATCTAACAACTAGCATAGGCTCACCTAAGCAGAGGTTAGCTTAAGAGGCTGGCAGCCGTGAAGTGGATTCTTTTGGGTGCCATTGGGGAAACAAAGAAGTTTGAAATATGGGTTAATGGAGGTAATTAACCCCTAAAAGTTCACACACGTTCCACTCACACCCATTTAGTCCATTTGGGAGACTTAACCCTCACCTTCCAGGGAAATAGATAAGATACCACAACACCTAACCCTAGGAAGTTTGGAGAAATAAACTTGTGGATGATTCATATCCTATAGAAGATAAACTTTTAACTGTTAAACTAGATGCAAAACCATGAAATTATGTTGCGACACCAATCACGATAATCACCACTGGCGAGGTTGTTAGGGCAAAATAGTTCAAAAATCAAGCAATATAACAACTAGCCAACGAATATTAATATGACCTGTGTCGACCAAATACCAGTAATAAAAGAAAGGATCAAAATCGTCTTCGGCGCAACAGTAAATCGGTTGCAATCGGTGCAGTAATTCACTTGGGTAAAAGCCACAGGTTAAATATAGTATTTGGTTTAAATACTAAAGGTATAATATTTGGTTTGGTTTATATACGATACAATACCTAAAACTCTCCCCCCCTAATTTGACGGTCCCTTTTGAAATTTAGAAGGCACGCCCATTCATTCAAATTCCACTTTCTATCTTCAAAATTCCATTTTTCTCTCTTCAAACAAATCAAACCTCTGTAACTCAAAAATCACACCATTGTTCACCACTAAGTTCCGATTTAGGGTTCTGTATTAGAAACAAAAAGAGCAAAACCAAGTATGTGATTTAGGGTTATATTCTTTAACCTCTGTTGAGATCCTATTGATATATGATAGAAAAGACCTCTCTCTATATTTTACTAAGGAGGGCTCGGCTAGAGAGCGAGAGACAAAACCTAAAGGACGAGGAAGTGAGGGCTCACCGAAGTCATACAAGAAGATCAGTTCCACCGGATTGTCAAAGCTTTGGAGGTTCCGAGATCTATACACCAACAACGACAAGTTCATATTGTATGCTTTTTTTTTTTCTTTTTTTTTTTTTTTTAATGTTTCTTAGCTTTTCAATTTATCTGATTTTACTTTAAATTGGAATTCCCCAATCAGTTCATTTGATTTATTTTATTTTTCACAAATTATTTCTTCAGAAAAATCGGATGAGGCATCGATTTGTTATCTATCCCGTTGATGGTGTTGAGATTGTTGTGTCTAGTCTGTTCTTTGGCTGGAATATTTCGACTCAACCGGGTTTCTCGTGTAGCTAGCGATGGTGGTGTTGGGTTTCTAGGAAATGGACAGGTTCGTGATCCAATAATCTCACAAATTCCCATCGATTATTGCTTCTCTCTTTCTCTATTTGACTGCAATAGAATATATATTTTTTAATATTTTGCTCTGTATGATCATATATGTGCCCAGAAAAAAATATCAAATATGCAAAATTTGATTTTGGATCTGTTGTAGATTTTTCCTGTTTTAAGAAAAAAGGTTTCCTTATGTTCCTATTTGAATTGTTCATTCACTTTGTAGGTTGAAGGGGATGGGTATTCTCTTTATTGAAAAAGAGGAAAAAGGGGTCCTATGATGGAGGATCGATATTCAGCCCTTGCCGATGTTCAAGGAGATTCCAAATAGGTACACTTTAGTTGAAAAATTTTTGTTACTTTGTATATGTTTTTAAGAAAGTGAATTGGGAAATATCTCTTGTCTTTTAATGGCAATTAAGTGAACTATGAAATATTTCATTGCATCATTCAGGAAGAGATGAGTATTAGAAATAATTTTTAGGGCTGAATTACATAATTTACCAATTATAGGAATTTGAAACTATTTTAGAAAGCAAGCAATTAGCATCCCCAATTTTTTTCATGATAAAATCTAAGCATAAGAATTAGCCATTCTTGTTTTTTGGTCTTGAAGCACTAGTATTCTAATAATTAATGGTATACTTCATGTTTGACATTGCTGGTTGTTGGTTGGTAAATGCTATTTTTGAAGAATATAGTAAGTTTTAATCATCATCAGCATCACTTATGTTACCAAGTATGGCCATGATTAGTTTTATTAAGTTGTGATTATGTCAGATCATTCAAAAAGATGATTAACCAATATAAACTGGTTGATGCTTCACTCTATATAAATTTAACGATGACATAATTTTCCTATAATTATTAGAGTATGAAACAACAATGCAGAATGAATGGGCAGTATATCTAGTAGGCTTGTTTAATAGCAGACTCTACCACCTGTTGCATATCAAGTAGACTTATATGGGTATATTTTTAATGTTTATTTTGAATGTGAAGTATATATATATATATATATATATATATTATTGTTGGCACAAGATTACTTATTGATTTTGTTTCTCTGTTTTGACCAATGGATAATAGAACTATCTTGGATTGATAAAAGCTTGTCCCATCTAAAAAGAGAAATATCAAGATATAGTGGAATAGTAAAACCATCAAGGTACTTTATTTTATGAAGTTGTGAAGATTTCTTTGTAATATTCCATTTCAATATAAGACGTAAAATACTTTTCTTTGTTGTCATGTTTATGATGCCAATTGCCTTCCCAAATTTATTTTTACCTTTTTGATGATTATATTCTAGGAATATAAATTACCGACTCGTTGGCTAAACAAGTATATGCAAAACCCATATCCATTTATTTAATTTGCCTTACAACGATCCACTTTGGTTAATTAGTTCCTAAGAACACTTGTTTGTAATGATGTGATTACATTGTGCTGTAGATATAAACATACGCCTTCAGTGGTAATCTCTTTCAACCTTGTTCTTCTGATACCACAACTACATAACCTTTTCTTTATAAAATTTTCTATAAGTGCAGCTCAAGTTTATGAGATGTTACAAATTAGAGATAATATGAGTTTGAACATAAGAAACTAATTTTTAATATTCTATAGCTTTTTGTTATTAACTATCTTTTGGTTTTATGATTTTTAAGCCAATTATTTAATTAGAACTATTAGTATTTTTAGCTTGTATAATTCTAACTCATTTTTAATTATTTCATTGGATTTGATGATTGTTTGATATAACTTACAAAACGAATCTGTTCAACATGTAGTTCATTGTAATTCAATCTCACTGATGGTTTTTTCTTTTCTTTTATTTTTACTTTTGAAAGAAAAACGAAAAAGAACATCTTTTCTAAATTCTAAACTTTGATTATTTATTAGTTCCATGGTTTTTTAGCATTATGATTTTTTCCTCCTATCATTAAAATCAAGTGATAATATTGAAAGTTGTAGTTAGAAAAATTAAAATAGAAATAAATGTTTATGTTTTCAGTATTTGTTGTGCACTGCACCCCAACGAATGTTTGGTAGCTGTTCCTCAATTTAATTTTTCGTGGCCTATTTAAACTACATAATATTGACTTGGATATGTAATAGTCTCATAGTTTTAATCGTTTTATGAATTTGATATTGGAGTGTTTTATATCTCAAGATTTTTAATCCAATCATGTTAAAACTGATGATCTATATTTTGTAATTTATTGGGTTGGTGCAAGGGTATAAGAGGCCATTGTGGGAGGATGTCTAAATTATGATGATGTTTACAAGGAGGTAAACCCTAAAAGGTGACTACCGGGAAGGTATTACAAGGTTCAATGCTTGGATCAAACACAACTCTTGAGAGCAGTCGATTTAATGATGCATGATCAAAGAAAGTTTAAAATCTTCTGCGTCCTACTTGATGATTTAAAGAAACCAGGGATTTTGATGCATTTGAATTAATGAGTAGTCTATAGTTATGTTTAGTTATAGCGTATTTGGATCATATTATTATGGTTGGACTAAATTTCAAATTATCTTTTCTTTTCTTTTCTTTTTTCCTTTTTTGTTATTATCAAATTTAGAATCTAGTTGTAGTTATTTGTAACTTTATCTCTGTAATAGAGGTTTTGGCTTTTTGACAAGCTTTGCTCTTTGTAGTGGTCCATTAGTTTCAAAAGGTTACCTTTGAATGCGATGCATTGTTAGTGGTTAATATTGTCAATAATTATAGATATATTGGTAATGGCGTGGTAGTGATGTTGGAAAATATTATCTGAGGCATAGATGTATTAAGTAATGGCATGGTAGTGACGTTGGAAAACTTCCAACTATTGTTGCAGGAGCATATCTACGGATAAATATGGAAGTCAAATGGGATGCATTGTTAGTGGTTAATATTGTCAATAATTATAGATATATTGGTAATGGCGTGGTAGTGATGTTGGAAAATATTATCTGAGGCATAGATGTATTAAGTAATGGCATGGTAGTGACGTTGGAAAACTTCCAACTATTGTTGCAGGAGCATATCTACGGATAAATATGGAAGTCCATGAGATGTTTATACACTATATGGAGCGTGCGTTTGGTGCCAAACCTTGTAAATGCAATTAATGCGTGATCACCACGGTTCTAAAATTGGATAACATCATCTGAGCATAACAAAACCTTTTATATATATATATATACACACACATAAACACATATTGATGTATATATATCAGTCTGTACCAATATTAATTATGCATCACAACTTTTTCCTTAACAACATCCCAACCTTCTCTTTAACAACATTCCAACCATCTATTTCTCTTTTTTTTTTAGTTGAATGGGTAAGCTTTTTTAAAAGAGAAAAAGATTTACAAATCCAAAGCTGGACAAATGAACCTTAGAAGTGCCCTTGTGTTCCTTTCTTGCCAAATGAAATAGATAGCTGCAAAAAGAAGAAGTTTATGAGCGAACCATTTACCATCATACCATGAGACCAATTATAAGAACACCAATCAATGAGCTCTCTCCAACTGTTAGGCTTGGTGTAGAAGCCTACCACATGCTGAATGAACTCCCAAATTGCACAACTATATCTGCACTTGAAGACCAATGATTCCTAGTCCGCAAGGCAAAGATAACAGGCATTGGTGTAATGTTTTTTCCTTATTACAATAGAATCAAGAGTATAAAGCCTCTCTTTGAGTGATCTATTTCTCTTGTTTGGGATACATATTAGGAAAATATTAGGGCGTTGGTCTTGCATCACAACATTTTCTTAATATACATCCCAACTTTCTCCTTACTAGCATCTCAATATTTTTCTAACGTACATCCCAAACAAGATAAAGAGATAAATAGTGTGATGTTGGTTTGGAGAAAGTTGGGATGTAGATTAGGAAAATGTTGTGATGCAAGACCAAAATAAACATATCTTGGTACAAATTGTTTGTGAGATATATTTTTGTAATTGGCATATTTCGGTAACAAACAAGTCCTAGTCGAGTTATAATTTCAGTTACCATATCCGACTTGATATCGACTGCGGAATGTAGAGTTTAAACAGAAGAGGAAAGTACTGTTGCTCATCGAAAAGGAAAGAACAACGATTAGGACATCATTTCCCACTTAGGACACAATGCTATACGTGGTATATTTTCAGAGTTCAAAAAATACAGAATTTCCAAGTTTAGGTTGAATTGTCACGTGGGAACCGGTTTCAGAAGCTAAACTTCGAAGAACAACTTTGTGTCCTTGGAACCGGTACCAAGTTTGGGAACCGGTTCCACAAGTCCGAATTGCAAAAGGATTCCAGTAATTCCTTTTTAATCCAACTTTCTTTCCAAGTCTTATGCACGAAATTTCCTTTATTTTCAGAAGGAATAGGACTTTGCAAACCTCTATATAAACCATGTCATATTCATTGGTTTATTCACGGCTTTTACATCATTATTTATATATTATACGAAGCCTTAAGAAGTTTTTTTTTCTCAAAAAATCAAAGTTGATTTTTCTGTTGTCTTCCTAAAATACACACATATTCACCTAGTAAGTTTAGAGTTGTGGTGTTCAAATCCTAATCGTGATCATGCAGTTGCATCTACAACGATCAGACGAAAGCATATCTTCTTCTACATCGAATTCAGACGATTGAAGAACAGAAGTAAAAGCGATCACACTTTGAAAGGATTGGAGCATTTGAGGAGTGTTGTCTAATCTACCTGTTACTCTTCTACAAATATCAAGCATAAGTCTGAGGTCAAGTTGCTGTTAGATGGGGAGTCGCAAAGCCAGAGGATTGTCAGCAGTTGATATTTGGTAGAACGATAGGGTGTGAGCCATAGTCAAAATCCGGTATACTTTGTTTCAAGTATAGTGGATTGGTTTACTTTGGACTGCAAAGTTTACGAGGTTTAGCCCATAACAGTTGACGTATTTTATCAACTGGGGTTTCCTCGCTAAAATTCTGGTGTCATCTCTAACTTTATACTTTGCTTTATTTTATCTGCATGTGATTAATTGTTTAATTACTAAAATAAATAAAGTTGGAAAAGACACAGATCTGTTTTAAAACAAACAAAACTTTCTAAGTATTTTCCGTTGCGTACGACTCACATTGTTTATTTTGGTCTTGCATCACAACATTTTCCTAACTTACATCCCAACTTTCTCCTTACTAACATCCCAACATTTTTCTAACGTACATCCTAAATAAGATAGAGATGAATAATGTGATGTTGGTAAGAAGAAAGTTGGGATGTTGATGGTGGGAAAGTTGAGATGTAGGGTAGGAAAATGTTGTGATATACAATTTGTAACAAGATATGTTTATTTATGTATTTGTACAATAAGTGGAATGTTGGTAAGATGAAAGTTGGGATACAAGATGGTATGTTGTAGATGCAGATAGTATGTTGCATCTACCACATACAAGAAGTTGCGGGCAAGTACTCTCTTCAGTAGGAATATATTGGGATGTTGTGTATAACTTATTCATGAACCAAGTAACTAAAGATTAGGATTATTTGTACAAATGTATTTGTATAAGCGTATAAGTTACAAGTACTCTATTCAGTAGGAATATATTGGGATGTTGTGCATAACTTAGTTATGAAACTAAGTAACTAAAGCTCGGGATGATTTGTATAAATATATTTGCATAAGCCTATAAGTTAAAACTTAAATTTTAAATATTAGTTTGTCCCTAAAAATTGGATAATGTATGGATCAGAGTTTAATTAAATTTGAAGAATTGTGATTGCAACTATTCTGTTTAATCGGAATATATTAGGATGTTGTGTATAACTTAGTCATGAAACCAATTAACGAAAGGTCGGAATGATTTGTACAAATATATTTCCCTAAGCCTATAAGTTAAAACTTGAATTTGAAATATACTAGTTTGAATTTAAATAGTGAAGCCTAAAAATATGTGATTCTCTCTACATTTATGTTGGGATTTTATGAATAACTACTTGTGGACCTATACTACATATATGTTGTGTTTCTTCCTAAGGTGATTCTAGCTAGTTTAATCTTGGGAATTAATAGACATTTTGTAAATTCACGGTGATTAATTCATGGTCCTCACCTCTCTTCGATAGGCGTCGATGAATTGGGTTGGCGGCAACGACTGATATCTGACGCGTTGTTTAGTGTTTGATTGGGTGAAGAATATTTTAATGCCCTTTCGATGGTGGAGGGGAGAGGCAAGAGCAAGGGGGGAAGGCGCCACAGATGTCTCTGGATGCTGTTTGCCTTGCCGGCCACCATTCGAAGAGGAGAGAGAATTAGGGCGATGGTGATTGAAGGAGAAAGACAGTATGTATTTCAATTTTAAGAAAAAAAAAAAAAAAAAAAAAAAAAATTATTTGGTATAAAGTAAAATTCATTTTTATTTCGTATAAAGTATAAAAAAACTTTCCATACCTGTATAAAAGCATTCAGTAAGTTTTTTTTTACTCTATTGACTTTGAGTGACGTGGCACATGGAGAACCACAAGTTCCGCACCGATTTACTGTTGATTTTGATCCTAAAAGACAATCCCTAGTCCGGCCATTTCAACAAAATAGCACATAAAACATTGCACAAACTTCAAAACTAGTGATTGTGACAGAAACAAATCCAACATATAGAACAGAGAAACGGAAATCAACTTCGCAGAGCAAAGAGCAACAAAACCTAAACACCAGGTATAATCCTGATGAAATACATCACCAACACACAATAAAGTAACTGCAATATAAATTCTTAGTCATAAAGTGAAACCATAACAAACTTAAAACTTAATCAAACAGACTGAAACCCATGTCATCATCAGACTCTTCAGCAGGTTCATCCTTCTTTTCTTCCTCCTTGGCAGCAGCAGGAGCACTCCCAGAATCAGCAGCTGCAACCGTGGTAACAGCAACAGCAAACTTGCTAGGATCCTGCAGTTTTAACCCACAAATGTGACGATCATATCACCAGAAAATGCATTTCAATAAGAAACTACGAAAATTTACATTAAGCAGCATAAACACTACATACCTCAAGGTACTCCTTCACCTTATCAGCCTGAGGGAAGGAATATTCGGTACAGAGTGCAACTGCCAGAACATTTTTGTAGGCATTGAGGAACATGTGGGGAACAGCTGCTAAGGTTGGGTATGAGAGAGCCAATGACAGCGATGTAACCATGGAAACTCCCATAGCAAACTTCTCAATGAGATCTTCCTCTGTAAGATCAAGCACCTCTGGACTGAAGACTGATCCATTGTCGTAAGCTGAGAGGACAACTAGACCATAAGAGAAGGGTCTAATCCCAAGTTTTGCAAGGAGAGCAGCCTCGGAAGAACCAACTTTGTCCCCCTTCTTGATAAGCTCAACCGGGGTAATAATTTCAACAGTACCCTTGTTAATCTTGGTGGGAATATTGAGCACCTGAAAAGTGATTGTGAAAGAAACATTAGCACAAGAGAGGAGAAAAACAGCATTACTGTAGGGTGATGATAGAGACCTGGAAGAAAGAGGTTTGAGAAGGATCGAGTCCAGTGTTCCCTGGAGGGACAACCACATCCACTGGAGCCACCAAACCAACACGAGCTGGAGCTCCCACCTGGCCAAAGAAGAAAGCAAATCAATATTAGATGCACAAAATTTCATAAAGAATGAATTAGTCAAAATAGCATGTATTAATGGAGAATCACAGAGATTTTAGTGGATACAGAAGGCAAGAGTCAATTAAATAATGAATTAGGCAAAAGTGGCATACATTATTGGAAAATCAGAGAGTTTTAAATGGATACATAGAAGGTAGAATAATAGCTTTTTACTTGTTCATCCCAATATTTGTTAGGATCAGCTCATTTAGGCTGGTAAATGAGCTTGAGAACAATAAGCTTGTGTAAGGTGTTCATGAATTATGCACATGAACACATTCATAAACATAAGCTTGTATACATTCATGAACATATGCTTATGAATAATCATGAACATGGAACTTAGACCGAACCAAATATTGTATTAAGGTTTCTTTATTAAACGAACCAAGATGGAGACAATCCCAAGCTGAACCACCAACAAACGAGCCCAAGCATAAAGAAGCTTGGTCGGAGTTTTAGCTTTTCTAATTTGAAAACTATAAAAACAAAATAAAGAATAACTAATAGTACCCAGTAATAACTTGCTAAAAATTAAGAAAACTTAGATTATTCAACTATGGAATAATTTAAATGTTAAATGGAACTAGTTTAAACTTGCTTAGTGACACATTTACAAGCATGGATTTTGGAGGATGCTCATAGGAATTTGCAGCTTACAAATTCCTTGAATAAATCACTGTTATTTTCCATATATTCCGAAAGGTCAAACAGTAAATCAAATGCTTGAAAATCAATTTGACGAAGACTAAAACAGATAATTTTCTTTCTTCACACATTTTCTTAACTACCAATCCTATTGGAATAGGTTCAATCAGAATAAATTTTAAATTCACTATAGAGATCAAATTATATTACCACACAGAAGCAATATAATAAATGATATGCAATGAGCAAGTGAGAACATGTTTAAAAAAGAACTTCAAATATTTAATGTAACTCAATAAGCATCTGCTTCTGAGACCATAAACTTGAAAGGGGAATCCGCCTCATTAACTACTACCTCTTCCGGGGATGGCTTCTCAATGTTAATTGCATCTGTTTATAAATGGTACAAGAAGTACCCTTTCGAGCCAGAATTATCTACATAAATATAAATAATAATAATACAACTCATCGACTACAACTACAATAACAAATAATATCTTTTACACATAAGAGAAACATAATCACATAAAAAAGGATGATTTTAAACCACTACACACCTTGTACTTGGCGACCTCTTCGCTCACTTCCTTCAAATCACCCTTGGTAAAGATCAACCCAACATTGCCCTAATTTCCAAAACAATAATAATCATTAATATACTACCAAGAAGAAAATACTATACTTCTCATACAAAAGTTACTTTCTCGGGAACCAAACAGATAGAAAATGAAAATATTAGCTCAAAGAAATGAAGAAATCAGGGAACGTACAACAAGTAGAGGGATCAGATTGAGAAATGTCTTGTTGCCAGTGTTTTCAGCATGAATCCTGATGGACCTCTTCATCATGGTGTTCTTACCCATCAGAACCACAGAGTCACCACGAAGACCCTGACGTATCTTCTGCAACTGGTTCGACCCAACGTTGTCAGCAGCTGCTACCAGGATCTGGTTGAACTCATCTAGAAGCTGGCACAGCTTGTGATCGTACGCGATCTTCTTGTCGGCCTTTGATGTTTTAGGTGCCATTGATTCGGATGACTAGAGTTTCAGAGATATATATATATATATATATATATAACTACAGATATTGAACCCTAAGAAAGTGAATCTAAGAGATACAACAAAATTGAGGCCCAAGACACAAGCAAGAGCTTCGTCAAGGAGGACAGCACACTACGCCGTCGCTTTAACCTCCCTCTCTACTGACTAGATTTCGGCTCTGTTTGAGTGAGAGAAAACCCTAGTTGCAGGTAGAGGGGAGAAAATGCTGCGTCGTTGAATTTATAGAAGAGATAGACCTAAATCCGACGGTCGTTATCTGATCTTGGGTTTAAAGGAGGACTAGTTTTGATATATGGGCTTTCAGTGGTAAATCCATAAGGGTGGTGTGTTAGTGGATTATGACTTACTAACCTATGATAATGGGCTTGTGTTGCAACTACTTGGGCCTTAAAAGTGAAGAATATGGTGAAATGAACTGATATTACACAAGGCAAAAAAAGATAGAGATAGAGATTTGAAAGCTTGGAAGGTTTTTCTTTACCTCCTTGGTATCACCTTCCTCCTAGAAGGAGGGAGGTTGACGGTTTTTTTTTTTATTATTTTTATTTTTTTTTATTTTTTTTATTGGTCTGTGTTGTGTATGTTTTCTTTTTGAAGTTTTTTTTTGCTTGCATTTACTAAATTCCTATCTGATGTGGGAAGAGATATCCTTGAGAATTCAAATTGTTGTTAAGATTTTTTTTTTGTGATATATTAATACTCTTATGAGATCATTTTTTCTTACATTTATCAAGTAAGCAAATTAATGTCAATTTTCAATCATGAAATCATTCAAGCTTTTATAAGGTTGTCTCATTTTTTTTTTTTTTTCCCCGCCAATTGTAAGACATCTTAATATCTTCGGTTTTTTTTGGTTGGAAAAAGCTTCCATTAGAATATAAATATACCCTGTATAGAATTATAAAAGTTTAAAAGCACTCTTTTAGCAGTCTTTTCAATTGATTTACAACTTTATAAAAAGATTATTTCTCTAAGGTAAAAAATGTTAGAAGTTTAATTCTAGACTTTCTTAGAGCTTGAATATTATAAAGTTGCATTCAACTCCTTGAGTTCAAGTGTTTTGTAATAAATTCCTCTTTATTTTTATTTTTTATTTTTTGTCAAAAAAAACCCATCAAGTAACCAAGGGATTTCGGATTGCACATGATTCTACTCGGAACGATTTATAAGTTCGTTCGACAATATAATAATATTATAACTCTAAACAACATGTGTTAAGAAAAGACACAAATTAAATATAGTGCACTGAGTACTAAATAAATAATAATTTTTCAATCAAAGGTACTTAACCCAATAGTTTAGTCTCCCCACATTAAAGAAGACTATGATCCTCCAAGTTAAGATCCCTCTAAATGACAAGTGTAATTTTTACTAGATCAAAGGTTTAAAATGTGCAACGTCAATTCCTTCAAAAAACCCCATAAAACCACGCATTTCAAAAAGTATTTTAAAAGATGCCGTTAGAAACCTCTTATTAATTTATCGATAAATTAATATCTAGCTTAATTAATAAAATTTATGTGGTCCCAAACGCCATAAAATTATACACGTGTAAAAATGTAAATTGATAAAATAAAATTACCCTCGAGTTCTACCCTAAATTTTTTAGACCTTTCTACGCATCACATGTCATTACTTATATATTGAAAAATTTCCCTCCATCTCCCAGAGAAAAAGAAACTTAAAAAACCAACTTTACCAACTGTTTCCCATCCAAATCCAAAAAATGACCCTGCCAACATCAACATACATCAAGTGTTCAAGTCATCCACATCAACAAACAGTGTACGTTCAACTGCAAATATTTCACAAAAAAAAAAAAAAAAAAAAAAAAAAACCATTTCCTAAAGAAATTCACATAGATAGCATTCAAACCACAATAAGAAGATAACCCTCAAGGCCAGGAAATAGAAAAGCACAGGTCGGCTTAGAACAGGCGTCATAATAATGTAGAAATTTATGATTACAATTTATAAAGGGTAACTTGAAAAGAGATGTTTATGAAAATTGAGCTGTCTAACTAAAAATCGATAACAGTTGTTGGTCATTAAGACTTATCAGTAATACCCCATACTGTCATCAGAGTTGATATATGCCAATTCTCCACCATCTTGCTCATTGAAGTCCTAATTATTAACAATCGTGTCATCAAAATCAAAACATATATCATTTCCCAGACTTCTTCAGTATTTGCATTTGCATTGCATTGTTCACCAATCACTACTACTATAACCACTGTAACACTCATCCTCACTCCAATCAAGATCACTATCGCTACCATTCCGAGGCAGACTGCACACTACCAGTTGGTGTTGGTGTTGGTGTTGACCTAACAGTAGGAGTCCCATCATAATTCACAAGAATGTCAAACCCTAATTGAACAAATAAACAATAAGAAACACTTCAATTGAACAAAATACAATAAGAAACAGATAACTGAAACCTAATTGAACTAGAAGCTAATGTAATATATGGGTGCATGATCTTTCATTGACAAATGCTGTTTGAAAGAATCTGATAACATCAACACAGAATCTAGGGTTGAACATATATAAAACATGGAGGCCATTTATATCATTATCGTACGTGAGAATACTCTCATGATAACTCTTCTATAATGAAGAAAGAAACGTGTTTGACTAATTCTATCTCAACATGCATATTAATTTTGGAAAGTATATAGCACTCCCGACTATCCAAATAAAAACATATAAAATAAGTCCAACAATAATTATCCACCTTGAAGAATTACTATTTAACAAATTAGATTTTTTTTTTCCCCCAAATAACCTTCTTCCTCCAATTTTATGTGTTTCCTTCTTGCATGTTTCACAATAACAATTTACCTTAAAAAAAAGTAAGTCCACTGTCTACCATGAGCTCATAGTCTTGCAATAAAACGTCCTTCGTACCATTAAACTTGGAGCACAAAATAATGTACACAACATCATCATCATATATACTGTTCATATACAAATGTTTAATTATTAAGAATTGATTAAAAAAATCTTAAAACAAATTCATGCATGAAGATCCAATAAAATGGTTCAATTGAAATAATTTAACCACGCACAGACCAGGGGAAAGAAAAAGTTGACCAGAGCATGTGATCTTCTTGAATGAAAATCTATGCTGAGTAATCACTGAATTTAGGAACATAAAGTCATGGGTGATTCTGTGACGATGTCTTGCTCTTCTTGGCATAAAGTGTTTTTTTTCTTTAATTATTATTATTTTTTATTTTTTTATTTTTAATTATCAAAAAATATATATATATTTTTTTCTTTTCATTCATTCTATTGTTGTTTGAAACCCTCGAATTAATTTAGACATGTATATATCACAATGATAGAATAAAATCAAGTAAAAACAAATGTTGCAAGTAGTTGTAATTGCATGGTCCCAGTTTCAATTGCGGTTCTTAATTAATTCCAATAAATTGAGAAGTTTACAAATCAACCGTAGAAGAAAAGAGTGTACATAGTCAGTTTTAAAGTATAAGCATCACCCGACACACTCCTTTTTTTCTTCTTTTTTTCTTTTTTCCTTTTATATTGAAGTATAACTATCATTGTATGTCCTATTCATTTAGACTAACATGATCATAATATTATACCACTGCAAATTCTTGATCATTGTATATTTATTTTAACTTCAATTTAACAAAATTAACTAAAAAAACACAAAATCCCCAATTCAGTCAAACCCTATTCTCACCCAAATGAAAATACTTAAACAAACAGAGACACTCAAACCCCCAAAGTTCAATTTAACACTTCGATTTTATGATTCTAACATCAATTTAACAAAATCAAATAAAACACATACACACACACAAAAATAAATAACTATATAAATAAATAAAAAAGGACAAAACTTAATTTGACAAATCGAGGGGTGATTTCGTAATTTCAAGTTTCAATAAAATAACCATCTAAGAAATCAACAGACATGCATTAAAATGCTCAGAATCATGGACATGCATGAAACATGCCTCGAATGATTTGAGAAAATGAGACAAAACAAACAATACCAAGAAAAACATAGATACCAAGAAGACAGAGAAACTCACCTGGTTAGCGATGATGCCACTTCACGATCGTATCTTCATAAATGCATAGATAGCACCCAATGATTCAGGAACTTCAAACACTTCACCATCGAACCAATGCTTTAGGAACTTCAAACACTTCACCATCGAACCAATGCTTCAGTTGTGTTACGATTTCAGAATTATGGTGGTTTCGAACTGCTTAGGGTTATAAGAAACTTTACAATCGCATACTAGCTTTTCTTGTTGGGGTTTAGGGTTTGAGACAGTTAGAAAGAGAGAGATGGAATCATCATGGTCTTCTTAGGGTTTCCGAGATGGGAGTCATGGAGGCTAAATAGTTGCAGAGATAGCTTTTCTTGCCCTAAAATATTACTTATTTATTTAATATATTTTTATTTAATTTGTCTTTTATTTATTTATTTTTAAAATTGAGTTGGTTGAAAGTCTTCTAAGGGTTCGGAGATGAATAGTAGTTTCAAAGATGGGAGTCATGGAGGCTGAATAGATTTCATGCCCTAAAGTATAATTTTTATTTTATTTTTTTTAATTTGAGTCGTTGAAACTTTAACAATATCTGTATATTGTATAAATGATAGTCGCTGGTTTGTGAACACTACTGTTATTTCATGTTATATGGTTCAAAATTATAGATTTTTTCATTAGTTTTAATAATTTAATGTTCTTAAATCAAATAAATAATCCTGAATACATCATGTTTCGGCAAACGAATCGCTATTCCCCTTTAAAAAAAATAAAATAAAATAAAATAAATACAATACAATACTTTAAAATGAATCAAAAAACTAAGTAAAATAAATTTTAAAAACACCAATACTTTAAAATGAATAAAAAAAACTAAAATAAATAAATTTTAAAATAAAACATAAAGAAAAGCTTACTCATAGTCTTGGTCTTCAAGACATGCAACCAAATACTCAAAATCATCTCTCTAATGAGATTGGCGAGAATGAAAGTCTTGTTGAAAATAATCTTCATGGTTAAATTCTACGTCCAAATCGAAAAATGCATTAGCATAGAAGCTTGTTATTTCCACCGTCAGAACCGCCTGGTCACACCGTCAGGACCGCCTGGTCATTCACCACAAAAACATTGTCGCTGTTCTAGATCCTTGCATAAACCATCCGATCGTCGTTAAGTCCCTGAATCACGTTTCTTATGTTATTTCGAATACAACAAAAAAGAAAAAAACAAATAATAATAAATAATGGATGAATAATCATTTCATCATCATCTTATGATACAATCCTCTGATCATCTTAGGATCCAATATCAGGATCCAGATGCGGAGGTTGAGATCCAACTTCTGATTTGAATCTGGTTTGAGACCCGAATCCTGCCCTAGTAATTCATCTAAAAATCTATCCAATAACATCAACATCAACCCAAATAATCTAAAAAATCAATCCAATAACATGAACATAAACTATACAATCTGATTGATTCTTTTTCTTTTTCCTTTTTTTTTTTTAACCACTGTTGATTCTCTATTCTCTACGTTTACCTGATGATTTAGTGATACTTGTTTTGGGCATATACCTTTTTTATTAATACTTTTTTAAATCCTGAATATTTTGTCAAAGAATTACAAGATTGACTGATTGAGTGATGAATGCTTAGTTGTTGATGCTAAAATGTGATGTAATTGGTGTCCATTGCAACCCACAAATTGAGAAGGCTGAGTCCAGTTCACAAACATTGAGAAGGCTGTGCACAGTGCACTATTATTTAATTTTTTTTTTTTTTTACAAATCACGATTCTATGAAATTAAACATCAAAACTAAATCATATCAATATTACCTTTGCATTTTGCATGGCAAGGAAGCAATTGTGGTAATCAAATTAAAATGGATACATAGAAAAGTACTTTCAATTTATTTTATAATTAGAAAATCATTCTTTCTTATCTTTTTTAATCAACATGTGTTAATAATAAGAGAATTCATGTAAAATAATTGTAACAAATTTTAAATAAAAAAAGATGAAAATTAAGATTTTCAAAAGCATAAATCTTATTCAAAGAAGTAATTTGTATTTTATAATAGTATTAAGACCACGAAAGTATCCATTATTATAAAAATATACCACCCTACAGTCACACAATCCACAATCACCAACTGTTCTTACCAATTCTCTAACACATGTACCTCCGTATTAATTACATATATGTCACACAAAAAATTGACCATATTATATCATCACCAAACCGTAAGGCGATTAAGGCGGCTCAAAACCAAGGGCCTTGTGGCCCAGTGTATCTCCTCTACCCAAAGGAGCAAAGTTGAGTGTGAAAAAAAGAGGCTGAAAAGCCCCCAACGGGAAAAGAAGCCCAATATTTTATTTTAATGTATTAATTACCAAATAAATAAAACTTCTATTAAATTAATCAATACTAGTAGGAAAAGAGAGGTTCCAATTTTTTTTTAAAGTATTAATTATGTTTCGTTCAATATATTAATTACTAAATAAATACAACTCCTATTATATCGATCAATACACGTTTCTTTCATCATATATTTTTATTTCTATCATTACTTCCTTTTTTTTCAATCAATAGATTTTACAAGGCTTCTTATAATTTTTAAATTGTCTTGCATATATCAATAATTATTCAACATTATATTTTTTTGAACTCGAACAGATCAATTACCTACCAAATGTATTACATGTCAAAAATTATTCAACATTATTTTTGTTTTGAACTCTCTCAGACATCAATTGCCTACAAAATGAGATTACCATGTCTATTTAGTGTCACTAATTGTTGAACATTATATTTCTTTTGGACACTCCCGCATCAATGGCCTACAAAATTAAATCACTATTTCTAAAACTAAAAATACAAATAATGTTTTTTTATTTTCTTAAATAAAAAATATTAATATATATTAAATATGAGAAGGCCAATTAGAAATTTTGCTTTAGGCCACAAACAGTATCACACATCACCTCCATCCCTTACTGAGAAGTCCTCAATTTAGATTTCATTGGGCAATATGATCAACTAAAGACTAAAGTTCAATACCTGTGCAAAATAAATCAATAAATCTTGTACCACTGCAAAAGAAACAGGTCCTCTATGCTTTTTGGAGCACAAATCACACAACTGTCAATTGCCTGATAATCTATTAGAATCCATTAGGGTTTGTATTTGGGTTTGCATTTCAAAATCCGGATCCTAATCCAGATCCAGATCCTAACAAGGATCCGGATCCGATCCCATAGATCCTATCAGATCACACAACAAGGACCAATTAATTACCAATATAATAGGATTTTTAAAAAAATAAAATAATCTTATGCCTCCAGGAAAAATATTTAGAATTTGTTTCTAAAAAAATTAAATTAAATTAAAAAGTGTCAAGAAATCACTAGAACGTTATGAAACAAGAAATCCAAAAAATAAATTGAAAATCAAGGTTTCAACAAGAAAAATCAGTCACAAATCACATGCTAGAACATCAAGAAACAACCAAATAATCAACAAATTTGCGTCTTTATAACATGAATTTGCAACAAATTGAATATTTAGGGGGTTTTATGTCAACTTTTTCCCGTAGGAGGTTTCTTGAATCTAAAAAATCAATCCAATAAAATGAACATAAACCAAACAATATACAGAACATGTTCCTTAGTCATTCTCCTCAATTTTTTTTTAAAACAAAACGTGAATATAAAACCAAATAATCCAAAAAAGCATATAGACCAAATATAGATATTGTTATACCGCACTATGAAAATAAGGGAAGACATGTGCAAGGAAGATACCAATATTTTTTCCGATTCCACTCGTTTCAGTAAACCTTTTGCTCCCCAACAGGCATACCTGTAATTGTAGGATTAAAAATGAAAAAAGTTAAATATGTCACTTAACTCCTATGTATTTTTGAACTTGATCATGTAATACTTGAAATCATTATTAAATTAATGTTAATTTTTTGAGTAGCTAAAATAGTTGGAAGTGCTCAAGACGATTCAAAAAAGCATATAAAATCCGTATTAAAAAAAAAACCAACACTATAAACACCAAAAATTCCAATTGATAATCTAACAAAGAAGAATTAAGTATTAGAAGAAGTGATGTTAGTTACCTGAGGAGGCATAACTGATAACCCTGGATTGGTAGTGGCAGTTACAGCCCAAATCCTAAGAAGAGAACAAAGTAACCATAAAATAGAGAACCAACTTACTTTTCACAAAATCCATAAAAAGAAGTTGCCAAATTAACACCAAATAAAAGTCAAATTAACACAAAATCAATAAAAATTAACATCTAATCGATAAAATAGCACCACATCAGAGTCATGAATACAAAATCTAACACAAAATCAACACCCATTTAAGTTGTCTCATTTTACAGGGGAAAGAAATAGAGAGAACCCCGCCTAAAGAGTAACCCAGAGCAATGACAAGCTGATATTGAGAGAGCAACAGTGAATTCACCAAACCCTAAAAAGAATTTTTGATCTGTTAGTAGAGGAAAAAAAAAAAAAATAGATATATCATTACATTACAAATATGGTGGACTTGTACTCCACCACCAAGATGAATTAATTCAAATAATGTACAATTGGAAAAAAATAATATGATAATATAGACAACACAACAATGCAAAAGAAGAGATAAGAGTTATGAAGACTCAGGCTACAGCTCCAGACCCGTTGAAAAGAGATCAAAGCGCAATCCGAACTCCAAATCACAGATTACTGGTTTTGGAAGGAACATTTAAACAAAAAAAAGTTTAACTTCTGTGTTATACCAATATTACAACAGAAAATGACATATATATACTAACATACACATTCGTATATATTAATAATTTTACATCTTCCAGTCATAAATTTACCAACCAGTCAACCAACATTAATTCTGGACCTACTACGTTAAAGGAGATCCGCGTTGAGGCCAGTGAGATTATAGAGTACCCCAGTGATGGTACCCTCGGGTACTCTATAATCTACAGTCTGTTGTGGACTTGTTTCACAAAAACATCCGCATCACATGACTCATGACCCACATAGGATATATATAATCACATCCTTGGACGGCTGTGGCACTGCCCTCTATCCTATAGGCCTGCCCTATAATTTCCTTTTTGCTGTATGCCACCAATTCGCTCGAAAACTCCAATGTCAGGCATCTTTCTATTTCTATATCATATGGTCAAATTCAAATCTGCAGCTGAAGATTCTAACCCTTTATACTCCATCATAATAATTCCCAAGCTACCTTTTGTCAGATAAAAAGAACCCTAGTTCTGGTTTCTAGGTGGTGCCATTGATGACCTTCAGAAAGAACTATTGACATGATGTATCTATTAAATTAAAAAAAACACCACTAATTCACTGCCTCTGAAGGATTTGGACTTAGAGTTCTAGTTCTATTAGGATAGAATGCGTGCAAATATTTAACAGTGCTTAATATTTAATCATTGAACTTTTGTGATGCAGCCAACCTCATTTGACTCATTTTTTCATAAACTGATTTCTTCCATTTTTCATAAAAGATCTTAATATACTAAAACATATATTGCACAATAGATACTTACATACTTGATTTTCTTAGTTTTCAAATATTAGTAGAGCAATTAAACAAGAGTTTCTACTGGCATTTATTATAATTTGTTCCCTTCATACTATACTTCTCCCAGTTGGCACCAAATGTTATTATAAAACATCACTATTACTTCTCTATCGATTTATTTATTTTGCTGATGTTAGCATGCTTTCGAAGTTTCAAACCACGAGGAAGTGCTGGCCCAAAGTGAATCTCGGACGGCAGCCTTGAAATAGCGCTATATATATTATATATATATAATATTCATCAATAGGAAATAAGGTCAGGATAAGGTCTCCAGACGTAAAGATAAGGTCAGGATAAGGTCTCCAAACTTGACAGTAAAAAGAAGTGACAAGACGAAAAGATGTGTTAACTCGTTAATAATGAATGGTTGACAGCGCCGAAGAAACAATAAATCCAAAGGCTGGTGTATTAGTGGGTTACGCCTATGAAACGGGTCTGTGTTACAACTACTTGGGCCTTAAAAGTGAAGAATAGTGAAATGAACTGAAATTAAACCAGGCAACAGATAGAGTGAATTTGTAAAAGTAAAGCAAATGCGTACACACTCACAATATTCAAAATTTCATGTAGATGAAACTTGAGAGTGAGGGTGATCTATTAGAAATCGGTTGATGGAGATATGTATAACAGAGGGAGAATATAGGTTAGAGAGAGAAAAGATGAAAAAAAGAAAAAAGGATGGAGAGACGAGAGTGAAGACAGGCCAGAGTGATTGAAACCCTATATTTGTGTGTGTCTATATATAACCCTAGAAAGTGAAACGGTCGACCAAGTTATCCGTCATGGGAACCCAGAATAACACTGAGTAAATAGTGAACCCAAAACAACACATGGCGGAAATTAGAAGTGAAATTAAAACAAAAGAAAGCAACCCAATACCTGGATCGAAAGGGAAAATCGGCGGAGAGCGGCCATTCGGCTGGCCACCGTGCAAAACTCGCAAGCTCCGGACACAAGAACCCATTCGATCCGACCACCGACATAAACGCCGGAGCTGATCTTGTAGGAAAGCCATCCCAGCGTACCACACCATATGGGAGAAATTCTAACTCTGATATACAGAGTAACCTCTACGGGGAGAGGAACAGAAACTCTGATGAACAGACAGACGGCTCTTGTCTGACATGATCCAGAACTCTCCCTCTTCGCTTCCCGGACAGTATCTGGACCCTTTGCTCAGGGAAACCTATAGAGAGAGACCCCTCTAGTTTAAAGCAGCGACTGCTTGTGGCTTTAATCAAACTTATAGTTTATAGAGAGATACCCGTTTAGTTTGTAGTGGGTCAAAAAGTTACTGAAAATTTATCAGAAAAAGTTGATAAAAATAAAAAATAAAAATAAAAAAAAGTGTTTTCCTGAAAAGTTAAAAAGTGTTGCAGAAAATCACATGGCTCACTGCATAGTTTGACCAGTTTTAGTTTTAGTTTTAGTTTTAGAGGACGCGACTATCTTAGTTGTTGGATAAAAAAACTTTTATAATTAATACATTGAGTGGTGGTGTTAGATATCATGCTTTTGTTTAGTTATGTTTTTTTACTTTGTTATTTTTTCACATATTCAGTTATTTTTTTAGCTTTAGTTGAATCTAGAAAGCATATTTTGTATATTAATATATATATATATATATATATATATGACTACTATTTTGCTTGAATCTGTTTTTGCATATTTTTGCACATTAATACATACATGATTACTACTATTTTTGCATATTAAAATGGTTCTTGTATTCACTAAATATGTTTGGTTAAATCTATAAAGCATGTTCGGTGAACTCATGCCAAACTAAAATTATATAATTTAAATTTAAAAAATTTTAGGATCAATTTTACTATAATATTTTATTTATTTATTTATAATATTAAACATGGTAATTAAATTTGAGCGTCACATCGTATCATAATGATACATAATGAATGGTAGTTGTATGAATTTTGGATAACAAAAAATTAATGAGGGTAGTATTGATTGTACCATACAATTACATTGAAATTAAAACCATTTCTTTAAAATATGATGCAATTCAATTCATGCTTTAGTTAAAATTCAATGCTAGGTTAAGCATAAAAATAACAAAGGACAAGACGAAGAAACAATTAAGATAGAAAATAATTTAATTGGTTGTATGGAGATAAAATTGACTAATATATGGCGCAATAAATTGAACACAAATTGGAGTTGAAAATAACAAAGTTTTATAATCTCGGAGCTCATATGTTTATTCTAAATCGACACATTTACCTTTAAAAGTATATTTGCTTAATAGTTGAGTAATATAACTTCTTTCACGAGAAACCCACAGTGAAGAGTAAAAATCATCATCTATGGTTGAGATGTTTGTCAAAAATGCACTTATTTATACAACTTGAGAAGAAAAGAAACTCGTGGGATAACTAGTCTTTCCAAAGAGTATAGAATACAGTCTTGGTTGATTGTGGCCTACATTTATGCTAAAGAAAATAAGGAGTTTGGAGGTTTTACATCTACTATCAAGATTATTTAGACATGTGCATTGTATTAAAATCATGTATATATAGTTTTCTGAATTGTGTTAAACAAAGTCATATCACCAAGGTCGACCTTCCCATAGTATAATTTACAGGTAAAAGGTAAAATAATTCTGTGCTTTTCAAAAACAGAGGATTGAAAAAAAATTAGGAATAGTTTTGAAATTTTATCTAAAAGGTTAATATTTGTTTATTAGATTGTTTGTTAGCTAACAAAAAAATATCTAAAAAAGGGACTGATCTCTAATATTTTTTTAAAAAATGATTGATTTCAAAACTTCTACAAAATTATCGGACTTAAATTAAAAAAGTAATAAGTTTAATATTACTTTAGTTAATTTTTTTACCTTATTAATTATTATTATTGTTTAAAGTTGTTCTTTGCGAATTGATAAAAAAAAAAAGATGTTGCGATTGAATAATCACCTTATCCAAAAAAATTACACTAAATCTTTGTTTTTTTTTTTTTTTGAAAGGTAAAATAACATTAAATCTTGATAATATATATATCATTGGCATACAGCATGGAGGGATATCTTATGAGCCAAGGTTTGGGAGTGATTGTAACTAGAGTTTTAACTTTTTAAATTTTTATATCAACAAAGAAAAATTATAAAGGAAAAATTAATATGTATAATTCCCTCGAAAGCTCCAATGTCAGGTCTATTTCTCTATCGTATAGTCAAATTCAAATCCGCAGCTGAGGATTCTAACCCTTTAGACTCCATCATAATAATCCCTTGCTACCTTTTGTCAGATAAAAAGAACCCGCGGCCTAGTTCTATTTCTTAGGTGGTGCCATTGATGACCTTCAGAAAGAACTATTGACATGATGTATGTATTAAAAAACACTTCACCGCCCCTGTAGGATTTGGGCTTAATGTTCTAGTTCTATTAGGATAGAATGCGTGCAAATATTTAACAGTGCTTAATATTTAATAATATTTACGGCAAAACATGGTTACTTTCCCCAAAAACAAATATATATATATATATGGTTCTAAATATTAATCAACACGGTGCCTTCATTGAAACTTTTGCGATGCAGCTAACCTCATTTGACTCATTTTTTTTCATAAACTGATTTCTTCCATTTTTCATATAAGATCTTAATATACTAAAACATATAGTGCACAACATATAATTACATACTTAATTTTCTTAGTTTTCAAATATTAATGAGCAATTAAACAAGAGTTTCTACTGGCATTTATTATAATTTGTTCCCTTCGTACTTCTCCCAATTGGCACCTGTAGGTGCAAAAATCCGTCAACTTTGAAAAGTCAACAAATAAAAGCAACACACTCAAATAAAATGACAGATTTAAAGAAAAAAGATTAATACACACAAAGAAAATAATAACAATAATAAGAACCAAAAATTGAGGTTTTTTTTCCTTTTATTGGAGGTCTATGCCTCTATTTATACAAGATTTGATGGTATAATTATGGTAAGACTTGCCTTACTTGTCCTCCACGATTTTTTCTTATACAATTTGTTCCATATAAGGTTTCTTCTATACAAGGTTTTTTTCCTTATGTAATTCCTTCATGTAGGACTTCTTCCATATAAGACTTTTTCTATATACGAGGCTCATCTAATTGTATGATTAATGGAATCAAATCTCGGTCTTTACTTGTGCTAGGCCCTGGACTAGGTGCGGATCTGATTTGTTATCTGTGGACTTAGTGATCGTGCCGGGCCGGGCTGGGCTTTCTTTCATCACGGGTTCATGCTTTCGTCTTGGATCATGTAATGTTTTGCTGAGCTAGGCGTCGTTTCTGGGCCTTGGTTTATTTAGCCCAAAGCTATTGTATTGGGCGGGACTCTTGCTGGCTGATGTGGCTTGCCTTAATTGGAAGGGGAGATTTTTGCCCCCACACTTTGCCCCCAATTCCCTTTAATTTGACAAGGCAATCACAACTAGAGGGAATTAATCGTAACTAGTGTAATGAATTATAATGGTAGCTGTAGTGAACCAAAATTTATGTCAGTTGAAAATTAGGATAATATGTCTTGATGGCGGCGATCTATATTTGTCTTATTAGAAAGTATGAAGACCCAAAATCAAGGCCTCTGAGGAGGTTGTAGTTGAGATGCCCCTAGATACTTTTTGCGCCTTAGGCATTTTTTATTATGAAAACTCTAACTCTGGGCTTTCTTGTTTGTCCAAAGCAATTTTCATGTAGTTGCTTGAAAATTTCAGCCTTCGGCACCTTTGTGTGTTCGAAATTTTTTCTCTTTGACATTCTTTCGTGCCTGGGGATATTTTGTTGAAAAATTGACCTTCGTCTTCTTTGAGTTTGAGGTAATTTTCACGTAATTTTATTCATCGGCACTCTTCTATGCCTTGGAGAATTGTATATGAAAATCTAACATTCAACTTCTTTGAATTCGAGGTAATTTTCATATAATTTTTTTCTTTGGCACTTTTTTGTGCCTGGAGAATTTTTTATGAAAATTTAACCTTTAGTATATTTGAGTCTGAGGTAATTTTCATGTAATTTTATTCATCGGCACTCTTCTATGCCTTGGAGAATTTTATATGAAAATTTAACCTGACTTCTTTGAGTTCAAGGTAATTTTCATATAATTTTATTCTTTGATACTTTTTTGTTCCTTGGAGGAATTTTTGATGCCGTCGGACTCTTGAGGTTTGAGGCTTTATTGTTCCTCGGCATTGTGCTTTAGAGGAATTTTTTATGAGGCTTTGTTATTCCTCGGCATTGTGCTTTCAAATGAATTTTTGATGCCGTCAGACTCTTGAGGTCCAAGGCTTTGTTGCTCCTCGGCATTGTGCCTTCGAGGAATTTTTGATGCCGTCGGACTCTTAAGGTCTAAGGCTTTGTTGTTCCTTGGCATTGTGCCTTAGAGAAATTTTTGATGCTGTCGGACTCTCGAGGTCCGAGGCTTTATTGTTCCTCGGCATTGTGCCTTAGAGGAATATTTTATACCATTGGACTCTTGAGGTCCGAGGCTTTGTTGTTCCTCGGCATTGTGCCTACGAGGAATTTTTTATGCCGTCAAACTCTTGAGGTCCAAGGCTTTGTTGTTCCTCGGCATTGTACCTTAGAAGAATTTTTTATACCGTCGGACTCTTGAGGTCCGAGGCTTTATTGTTCCTCGACATTGTGCCTTAGAGGAATATTTTATACCATTGGACTCTTGAGGTCCAAGGCTTTGTTGTTCATCGGCATTGTGCCTTCGAGGAATTTTTTATACCATTGGACTCTTAAGGTCCGAGGCTTTGTTGTTCCTCGGCATTGTGCTTTCGAGGAATTTTTGATGCCGTCGGACTCTTGAGGTCCGAGGCTTTTTGTGGTTAGGGTTGCCCTCACATAGCCGCATATTTGGGTTATTTTCTACTTCACTTAGGGATCGGTCTTTCTTGTAATGCAAATAAACCGAAGCCAAATATTAGTGAACAGCATACAAACATGGATCAAATAAGAATGAAAGGTAAATAGAAAACTATTTATAATCGTCCATGTGTAGAAAATTGTCAGAAGCATGCAAAAGAATTATATGCAACATATGCCAGCTTATTGAAGGAAATAATTGACTATATAATTGGGAGTTCCAACTAATCCGTGAGCATTTATACGTTTACTACATATAGCATTTGGCACATCTAAAAATGATTTGATGCATGCTATATCTTCAGAACTTTAAATAATTAATGGATCCAACACACAACATCTTGCATTTATAAGTGTTGCCCAAGTATAGACTCTAGAGGGGGTGAATAGAGTCTTTGGCAAATAATGGCCAATTTTCAGATTTGCAAATTCTATTACATCATTCTAACAATTATGCAATTATCAAGATATAAACATAAACAATTAATAGCATAAATGTAAAGGAGATAAGGGAAGAGAGATTGCAAACATTCACA